ATTTAACTAGGACTCTAGGTCGTTAGTTAATCCTTCACCGAGTAGGACTCGTCTTGAGGAAGGAAGCACGTATAGGTGATTGTAGTAGGTTGAAAGAAGGTAAGGTAGTTGACCTATAGTGGATCTGGGTAACAAGTATTGAATGGCAAGGTCCTCCGTCGAACTTGTGTCTACTAGCAGTGGCCTAGCCAAGCAAATACCAACTGGTGGATGACCTCTAAAGTGAATGCAGATAGGCATTCACTTTCTTATGCTTCATAATGGCCCCTTTCCCCTCATACCTCAATTAACCAGTTTTTATTAATTGAGGTATATGTTTGAAGATTGGATATCTCTCAGACCCAACTCATTGGTAACGGAATTATTTTGCCTAGAAAATTAGGGCTTCAATTGCCCAAGTAGCTTAGGGTTTTAAATTGTCTTCCTCCTTCCTTCATTCCTCATATTTCTTTGGAGATTGGCTAGTGGGAAAAAGAGAAGCATCCATTGTTGCTTGTACAGAGAACTAACTTACTTTTCTCATGAGTTAATCGAGCAATAAGAGTTGCTTGAGAGTCCAATCGAGTCTAAGAGGGTCAGAGCAGACATGCTTGAGAAGCAACTTAAGGATTCTAGAGTGGAGAATGCCTTCTTGAAGAGGAAGGTTACTAAGGTAGAGACTCAAGTTGGTAAGCTTCAAGAGGAACTTGCTAAGGCTAAGAGAGAGAATGTTAAGATAGAGGAACAAGTGAAGAATGTTGTCAATGATCATTACTCCTAGATCTTGGACAAAGTCAAGGAAAAATATGCAAGAGAGAAGAACAAGTCCTTCGGGGATGGTTGGGGAAAATCTCTCAATCAGCTGAAATTGATGAGTCATATCCAATTTGGGAGGACATTCAATAGCCTGAGAATGACTTCTTGATTCCTAAAATCATGGGGAAGTTCCTTGGTGGTGGTAGTTTGAGTCTTCTAACACTTGTGCCCCCCATTTTGACTAAAGGAAGAAGGTGTTGGAACGAAAATCTCAAGAATCATTAACAGCGCATATGTATTGAACACAAAAAAATTTCTTTAAAAACTCTACAAGGTGGAATTATGGTCTTCCTTCAAGATCGTTATGGATTGACCTCGTCTCAGCACGAATGCAGAAACTAAAGACAAATGCAGAAAGTAGCTCGCTGAACCTCACAATTTTCTGTTGTATATCTCCCAACGCCAAAAATCTGGATGCAGTGTGGGCAGCAAGGACCTTCGAAATTCTGCTCTCTCTCAGCGTCTCTCAAAACGTGAGTAATGAATTGATGCTGATTTAGAGAGTCTAGACATCTACATATAGGCTACGACAAAAACCTTAAGGAGAAATAAGGACCAAAACAAACATCTTACCACCCATTAATAATAAATTAGTCCACTAAAGCTTATTATTGATCTCCTGAACCTTATCTCAAAATTATATTCAAGCTCCTTATTATTATATGTTTAATAATCTCCTCATGTTTAAGATTATAGATGTCCATCAATTAAATAAATTACTAACAATTATATTTAATTGATTTCTTTTATTCCTTGAGATCTTATCACTCAACTTATTTGTCATGTCGGATAATTAAATCCACCTACAGGGTTTGACTTGGACAAAAATTATGAGCTTCCTCAACAAGACATCATCAATCTATTTAAATATCCGGATGTGGTTTCTTTTCATAATTAATTTCTACCACACAAGTAACATCGTCTCCCAATTCACCAAATTTATTGACTCAATATAAATCTCACTCTTTGATGAATTAAAATTACAATCATTATTTGCATGTGGCGATGAAATATCTCAGAATTAAGAGTATAAGCAATCATAATAATTATGAGGTATTTATTATCTTATTGAATCAGTAAAAGATAATAACTTCAACATGGATCTGTTCAATATACAAAGTGTACTAGTGCAATAATTTGAGACATCAAACAGTCTCCTACAGTCAAGACAGAATATTACACTACAATCATACTGATGGTGTGTCTAATTCCATCTAAGATTGTGAACCTATACTCATATTATACAAGGATCCGATAATCTGTTCTTCTATGCATAAGCTGAACTCTACACACTAGATTATCTACAATGTAAAATATAAGACACACATGCATACCATACATTAAATATAACGCATATATTTTGCCCAAATAGATTTTCAATAAAATGGAAAGAACAAACTTCGTTTAATTAATAAAATGATTTTTCCTACAAAAAGTAAAATTTTAGTATACAACTCTATCAGAAGGTCCTCTGAGGTTGAGGCGTTTGATGCTGCATAGACTTTGTTCTTCTTTTTGTAATGTAAGTAACTACTCTTTTGTGATTGATTAATTTATCTTTCAATTTGCTTAAGAGTTGGTTAGGTAGTTGCTACCTAACCAACTCGCTTTGCCTTTGATAAAGGGCTTTAAGTGTGAGATCATATACTTGACAAAGGTGGAATATCGTCATGAGAAATTTGAATAGCCGGACGAGCAATCGTAGCCTGCTTGAGATGTCTATCAAAGGTTGGGTGGCCCAAATGATAACCTTAGTGGTTGCAAGATAATGAATGGAGGTGAAGTAGCCTAAAAGGCAACTGTGGAGGTTATATGGAGGCCAAGTAGCCTTAAAGGTCAACCTAAAAGTCGCATGAAGGCGAAGTTAGGTGAAAAGCAACTGTGGAGGTTGTATGGAAGTGAAGTAGCCTTAAAGGGCAACCTTAGAGGTCACATAGAGGCCAAGTAGCCTTGAGGTGCAACCACGGAGGTAGCCTTGACGTGCAACCATGGAGGTAGCCTTGAGATACAACCACAGAGGTCGACTTGAGGTGGAACCACGAAGGTTGGCTTGAGGTGCAATCAAGGAGGTTGGCTTGAAATGTAACCAAGGATGTGGCTTTAGGTACAACCAAGGAGGTTGGCTTTAAGAACGACCAAGGAGGTTGCTTGAGATACAAACATGGAAGTTGGCTTGAGGTGCAACCAATGAGATTGTTTTAAAGTGCAACCATAGAGGTTGGCTAGAGGTGCAACCACAAAGACTACAATAATCACAAATAAAGGAACACTTAAAGTTGTGAAAAATAAACTTATCTTTACTAACCAACAAGAAAGAGAAGCAAATGTCTTTTAAGACTTATTGAAATAATAAGATGTTGTTGACTAAGATAAAAGTAAAATTTAGTTATCTTATAGGTTATCTGATTGGATTTGTTGCTTTTCTTGCTCCGTGGTATTCTTTTCCTTGTCAATTTACTGAGAAAGGTGGTCTTGCTTGACCAACTCTTTTAGGTGGCGCTTGAGTGCCCAGTAATTCTCCATCAGTTGTCCTTTGTCCTTGTGATAAGAATAATGGAGGTTTTGGTCCCACTTTGACGAATCTCCTATCATCTTAGATGGCCACCTACAATACTCCTTGTCTTTAATTATGGAAACCCGCTCTCCACCCTACAACCTTGCAAGTATTCTATTTTCTTCTTCTTCTTCTTTTCCCCTTATATGTTATTAAATGAAAAAGGTAAAAAAACAAAATCATTCAGAATCATAAGGTCCTGGACTTTTGTGAATCGATGAGATCATTTCCAATCACATGCCAATAGGTCTTATAAAAGACAATAGACATACCATCAGGTCCTGGACTTTTGTGAAGGCATGACAAACAAAGTGGCTTTGATTTCCTCTGGGGTAGAAATTGAACAAAGATGGGGGTGATCATCAAGGCTAACTATGGGTGCGATTTGTTGCTCTAGGTCATCTGGGAATTGAGGGTTAACAAAAGTAAATAGATCTTGAAAATATAATGAAAAAAGATTACCAATGTGTTTCCTTTTTGCGATCCAATTGCCTTCTTATGTCTTAAGGCAGTCAATGGAGTTCCTCCGCCCTCTAATAACTGTGGAATTATGGAAGAACTTTGTACAGGCATCACCTTCTTTGAGCCACTGGATTCTTGATCTTTGTCTCCACAATTCTTCTTCTCTCTTTAGCTGTTCAGCTAGCTTAGCTGCAAGGATTCTTTGTTCTAACAAGTTATCTAGGGTTGGGTCAAGCTGCTACAAGGTATTTATTCAGGTTTTGAGTTCCTTGGCTCTCTGAATATAGTTCCCAAATTTTTCTTTGTTCCATATCTTTAAACACTCTTTGGTTTCTTGCATTTTCTTGTAAAATCTGAATGCTAAGGAGCCTCTCTTCTTTATTTTCCAGGAATTCTTCACTACAAGGTGACTGGTTGGATCTCTTGTCCAAATAACCTCAAATTTGAATGGCTTATGAAAGGTGTTTTTGCCACCTTGTGTGTTCAGTAATAAGGGATTATGATCTGATTCTATTGCTGAGAGATGCTTAATAGTGGCCCTTGGGAAGAGCAGTCTCCAATCAACGTTAACCAATCCTCTATCAAGCCTTTTTTTGATGTTAGCCAAGTCTTCTCTCTTATTTGGCCATGTCAAAGGATTGCCTTCGTATCCTAGGTCAATCAACCCCTGAGCATTCATGAATTCACTAAAACCACAATTGGATAGGGTTGCAAAAGGCCTCCCACCCCTCTATTCCCTTTGGGATGTTACGTTGTTAAAGTCTCCAATATACAAGTATGGACCTTGGAATCCTTCATTAATTTTCGATATAGTGTCCCATAATTTGCTCTACAGCATTCTGTTGGCACGGGCATAAACATAGTTCAAAAGCCATTCTTTATTAGCGCGCTCACATGACAACTGAGCCAAAATTATAAATGGAGTGGACAACACAATTTCCACATCAAAATCCTTTCTCCAGCACAAACATAATCCTCTTGCTAGTCCCTTTGAGGCTTGAATTTCATAGTTAAAATATCTCAAACTTCTTATAATTCTACCTGCCTTAACTTCATCTATTTTTGTTTCTGAGAAAAATAAAATCTGGGTTCAGATAGCTTAGATGATGAACTGTTGAGGTGTGAGCTAAACCACGACAGTTCCAAACATAGCCAATCATGACTGGGGTGGAGGCATGGTAAGGCCCACCTCCTCAGCCATTGATATCTTCTTTGAGGCTTCAAACTTAAGTTCCTGAAGTTCATTTATTGGGCATTCAACCATACCTCTGATTGTTTTCTTGGTTGTGAATCTCCGATAAGTTCTTTGGTTATTGGAGCAATGTTGTTCAGTGATGGTAGAGAAATGCAAGCACAGGTCATTCTCTGGAGGCCTAAGCAAGGATGTGGAATTCGGATCGATGCTAGTGTCGTCATGTGGGGAGGTGTTTCTCTCATGCTCTTGATGACTCAGATCCTGAATGAGGGAGGATAATGAGTGATCCATCTTCTTGCTTACATACTTTAGAATGTCTTCTCACTTTTGGATCTTCAAAACAGTTATGTGCTCTGTGTACTGATTGTGAAGAGGTGGGGAAGTGAGTAGAGTCGAGGAGTTTTCAGATTTGTGTGGAACATTCGTGGTTGAAAATGAGGGTTGTAAAAATTGGGTTAAGGTGTGAGTAATCCCTGCTGGTGGATGGAAGTTTTTGTCTCTGATTTGTGTAATGAATGGTTGAATGATATGTTGTGGGAGCTGGTTGTGGTAAAGTAAATTATGGGAAGTTGCTACATATTGATGAAGGCTTTCATCTCTATTCTGGGTTGAGTGAGGTGTGAGGATGGTATGAAGAAGGGGAAGGGTGAGCAGTTATATCAAATTGGCAAGGTAGGTGGATGGTTCGACGGATGAGTTGGGTATGCGAATCATCGGTGAGTTGAGTATGCAAATTATCAATGGGTTGAGTCAACGCCGCAATTGACGTTTAAGATGGTGTATGGGAAAGATAAGGAGACTATGCAGTGAACTGAGTTGGTTCATGAACGAGGGCTTTAGATAAGGGTATGGGTTGTGCTGTTATTTGGGCTATTGGATTTGGTGGGTTTGTGTACTGATCTAGGATGTAGACTACACTTGGGTAAAAGATAGAAAATGTGTCATTTCTTCTTGGGCTTGGTGGGATGGGCTAGCATGCAGTCTATACTTGGGTCCGAGATTAGGTGATTGTATTCCTTTGTTGGGCTTGGTTGGGGCCTCATTTATATACTTGTTGGGTGGGATGAATTACGGTTTTGTGGGATGGTTTGCGTCGCAATGGCTAAAAAGTTTTCCTCCAAGGTAGTTACATTCAAACCCATTCTTGCTCTGCCACGTGGAGCATTTGCAGAGTCTGTTAGAGGAGAAAATATTCAATACAAAAGTGATACCACGTGGCAAGGTGATGTGGTGTCACCAACTAATAGTAATAAAACAAATAAGCACATGGAACCCACAAAAATCAATAACTAACATGCCATGTAAACAAATAATTTCTCACCCTCCTGTCATGTAAGCCCAAGTAGGGTTCACCTTTCCCATTTGGGGTTTTATTATTGGTAGGTGATACCATGCCATCAATAGTGACATGATATCACCGTTGTATTCAATATTTACTCCAGGTAGAGACAGGGGTGTGCGTACAACACACAACCTCGGATTAGGCAAGGTATCTAGGAATTTGCTGGGTCCACTTGCTTGGAGTAAGTGGGTTTCATGCGCCTCTTCCTCCATCTAGAGTGTTAGAAGTGATGAGTTTTTCGGTTGTATCAGTTCCTCAGATGATTTCCATGGAGTTGCGCGCAGATGAGGGCCGTATTTCATATTATTTCCCAAGATTGATGTACTTTTGCAACTATTCTGTTCATGTCCAATTACCCCACACTTGTAGCAAAAATCTCCAAGCCTCTCATATTTAAGAGTGATAAGCTTGTTTGGGCGATCATTCCTTGGCAACCAGAAGTGGGTTTGGAGTGATTTTGTTAAATCAATTTCAACTTTGGTTCGAATGTAGTTTTTCCATATGTTTTTTTGATGGAGCATCCGCTCTGCTAGAACTGGTGAACCCAAAGCCTCAGCAATCCTCAGGGCCTTCTCTTTGGTTATCAATTTAAGAGGCACCCCATGAGCTTGAACCCAAAATGGGGAAGAGTTGAGATTAATTTCATTGATTGTGATTCTTGGGATCCATTGCTTCAAAACCATGAGTTGCCCTTTTACCGACCACAGACATTGGTTGAGGATTCTGAGCTTATGTTCTTCATCTTGAAAAGGAAAATGAAGGTGTGATTCTCCCTTTCATTAATTTGGATTTTTTTGTGTGGAACTCCATGCCCTTCCAGGACATTCTTGATTGCATTCTTGTTGATTTTTTTGCTGGAGTAGAGTTTGCCCACTAGGCAAGAGTCATTGAGAATAGCGGAAGTGTTGGAATCTAAGAGGAGTTTTATTCGGAGTGGGTCACTAGTTGGGGGCTCTCCGTTTGAGTCATCCATGGTGTTGATGTTGGTATGTGAGGAGAACAGAGGGGTTGTTATGGGGAAGGAGATGGTTGTTGTAGGTGAGCGATGGCAAGAGAGGCAGCTAAGGGATGTGTGATGAAGGCTTATGGAAACTTGCAGAAGATAATGAAATTGATGGGAGATGAGTAGGTAGGGTTATGCAGAGAAGGGGTGGCACTGCAGTAGTAGGGGTTGCAGAAAATAATGGAGATGATGGGAGCTGAGTATCAATGACAGCTTTGGAATATATGGTTGAGGATTATGAACAGAGGCCCTGGGTAGTTAGAGCAATGTCTCTTCTCAGTAGGGAAATTGCACAGGAAGAGGAAAGAGGACCTCTACAGGGGGAGAGCGAAAAGTTCATTCTCGGCATTAGCTCATTTACTCAAATACGGAATTCAATTCTATATAACAAATCTTCTTGGTATCAAAGATTAGATTAGAAACAATACAATTTGTGAGTGACTTTTTGAATCCCTGGCTTAATATGTAGTTGGCCACAATGAAGAATTTATTATGCTGAAAATTTCTTTATGCACGTAAAACATGCACATGTGATATAGAAAATTATTTCCTATTTTTGCACTATTTTAAGTGGGAATTTCTTTACAAACTATATTTATCCTTGCCCCGTTTTTTGAAGTTTTATGCAGAGTTTGATTCCTCACTTTTAGTTCTTTAGAAGCATTTAGCACGTTTAGCAAGATGATATGGCAGCTTAACATGACTTAATTACTGCATGGTCAAAAAAAAAATGTCAAGTATAGCAAGAAAATTACTTTTCTAAAAATATGAGTAAATTCAAACAAGTTTAATGCTTACATTAAGGTTCTCATGGGAAAAATATGGATAGTTTTGCTGTGTGAAATCGTACACCAATGGGTCTGCACAAAAACATTAATCATAACTCTAGAGCAAGAAAGCAGACTCATTAAGATCTAAATAACGAGAATAAAATCGATATGCTAAAATGCGATGGCAGAAAGTCAACACTATCAATTTAATAATTGATTGAGACAAATACTATTTTTTTTTACTGAGACAAATACTAAGTGGTAATAAAATATGAAATATGTTTTGACCAAAAATTAAAAAAAAATTACACAAAACAAAGAAAAAAAATTGCAACGGTTTTCAATAAGGAGTTGGGTGAGAGTTCCTTTGACTAGTGCTTGTTTATGCATGTAGAATTGTGAAGGAAATAGGCCTTCTGAAAAAGAATTGTGGAGGAAAAAGAATAAAAGAAATAATCATAACCTCTTGTTTGAGAAATGGACTCGAAGTGGTGAAATTAGTTTTTTATAAGCATCTTGATCAACCTTCTCACATTCATAGCTACTGATGTATGCATAAAGGCCCTAGTAGATCATATTGAAGATCCTTTAAACTACTAGATACCAAAGGCTATGGGAGAGACAATTATATTCAAACACATATTAAAGCTAAACTTTAGCTTTTTCGTGAAGTTTACCTATATAGGTGGCAAATTTGGATTGTGCATAGGAAAACCTTGGTAGAAATGCCTGGCTAAATTTTCTTTTCGGTAAGTAAGAAATTTATCAATCAAAAGAGGTGCTCCATATCTTTCACAGATACTTACATGAAAAAAAAATGCCAAAATGAATCAAAAAAAGAGAAGTGAAAGGTTTACAAAGAGTGTGACTACTTTCCTTAGGAAATACCATTCTATTAGTTAGGTAGTAAGACCCTCAATAGGATAGTAAGCAAGCTGCCTTAAGAGCTTTCAGGCTATGAAAGGCATGCAGATCATCTATTCATATGAGAAAGATGGTCTACTATCCCCAAAATCACAGCAATCTCCATCAACAATATGCAGTTAAGCCCAAAATAAACAAGATGAGGACAAAAACATTGCAAAAACGTGGGACAACAGCCAAACAAGCAGCAAGGAAAAATCTTGACTTCACAGTCATCAAGCATGACCAAAACAGAGCAGTCAACAGGCTCAAGAGAAAGTAAAACACAAAAGGATTGAGATAGACGCAAATCTGCCCATCCAGTTTCAAGCAGCAGCAACATTCAGAATAGCAGCAAAGAAGGCCAACAAGAATACATCATGACCAACAAAAAAGGCCAGAAAAGAACCCCCTCAACAAGAGAGTTCAAAAATTAACTTTAATGGGGGTTTAAAAATTGTTTCTGGTAGGGATCATTGTCTTGTCTCTGTCATCTAAGTTAGCCACACAAGGGTCCAAAGCCTGGCTAACTTTATTTTGGGTTAGAGATCAATTTTTTTTCTATTTTTGGTATGCATACTGGCTAACTCTATTAGACATTATGTTTAATAGTTCTTCTTTTCCAATAAATTACTTAATCAAGAGAAATATGTTGCATGTGTGTATGTATGTTTTCCATATATTACTTTGTCTACGAAAATTTATTTAGTCCAACCTCTCGTGAATTCTTAGTACCTGCCGGAAAGAAAATTTCATTGATTCCTTGGTGTTGGTTTTAGCTTGTGAGTTATGAATCTAAAAGACCTTGATGTTTCTTGATTCTTTCTTCTTTCTTTGGCAGAAGCACTTGCCTAACTTCTTGTTGTACCTTTTACTTCGCAATTCCTTTGATTTTGTCAACTTTGATGCTTGTTATTAATTTAAACTGGAATTTTATACTTATTAAAATCAAAAAAAAAAAAAAAAAAAAAACTTGTGAGATAAATTATCTTTGTAACAGTTTATTTGCATTTCAGGCATACTTTATTTTCACTTTGTTTTCTTTTGGCAATGGAAGAGTATGATTCTCACAAGTATCACTTGTTCAACCACATCCCTTTGGTTCACCACTTTCTTTCAATTTACTTTTTTGGTTTGTGCCCTTTCTTTACTTTGATTGCCATGTGCGAATATTAAGCACGAGCGCAAAAGGCAGGGGCTTCTTGTAGACCGTAATTGCTTAGCTCTAATTGACACTTTCTTGTACCTTGTTATTATAACTGTTGGAATTCAAGCAGTAATTGTTGCATCACCATTGCTTTGAACATCTGTTTCATTGTCCTAATTGTTCCTTCGTCATTTCGAAATTGGATATCTTCCTAGTTGGTTACTTAATAATGTAGGGTTGTGTTATTTCCACTCCCACAAATCTTCACTCCTACCTTATCTAATTTCTCATTACCAAATTACTAAACCCACCTTATCTATACTCACCTCATTAGTAATTAAGCCTGCCACATGTTACATAAGTAAACTCACTTTATATTTTGTCATAATTAGGATTTCATTCTCTATCTCATCTCATGCACTCACAAAAACACTCTTTCAATATGAATTTTTCAGTGAAATATAGGTTAACATTACTTCTCAATTTAATTATATGTTTGATTTCATGTTTGTTATATAGATTTTCATTATTTTTGGTATATTTTGATATCTCTGTCTAGTTTAATAATTTTTTTATTTAAAATTTATATGTGTGTATATATATGTATGATTCCAAATTATTTATTCTTTTTTATGTTATTAAGGTTTTGCATCTATCCTTGAAATTTTTTTCTTGTTTGATTTTGTATCTGTGTTTGATGCTTGTTTTTTTTTTTTNTAGAACTGTGCTCTATTAGACATTATGTTTAATAGTTCTTCTTTTCCAATAAATTACTTAATCAAGNTGGCTAACTCTATTAGACATTATGTTTAATAGTTCTTCTTTTCCAATAAATTACTTAATCAAGAGAAATATGTTGCATGTGTGTATGTATGTTTTCCATATATTACTTTGTCTACGAAAATTTATTTAGTCCAACCTCTCTCGTGAATTCTTAGTACCTGCCGGAAAGAAAATTTCATTGATTCCTTGGTGTTGGTTTTAGCTTGTGAGTTATGAATCTAAAAGACCTTGATGTTTCTTGATTCTTTCTTCTTTCTTTGGCAGANACTTGTTTTTTTTTCTTGTTTTGGTTGATTATTTCTTTTTGTTTTTTCCTTGTTTCGTTTTTTTTTCTTGTTTCGGTATGCTTCTTTTTTTTTTCCTTAATTGTTTCTTTTCTTTTTTTCTTATTTCGGCATGCATGTTTTTTTATTTGTTTCGTTTTTGATTTTTTTTTGTTTGTTTCAATTTTGCTTGGTTCTTTTTTTTTTTTTTTTTTTNTTGCATCGCCATTGCTTTGAACATCTGTTTCATTGTCCTAATTGTTCCTTCGTCATTTTGAAATTGGATATTGGTTACTTAATAATGTAGGGTTGTGTTATTTTCACTCCCACAAATCTTCATTACTATCTTATCTAATTTCTCATTACCAAATTACTAAACTCACCTTTTCTATACCCACCTCATTAGTAACTAAGCTTACCACATGCTACATGAGTAAACTCACTTTATATTTTGTCATAATTAGGATTTCATTCTCTATCTCATCTCATGCACTCACAAAAACACTTTTTCAATATGAATTTTTCAATGAAATATAGGTTAGCGTTACTTCTCAATTTAATTATATGTTTGATTTCATGTTTGTTATATAGATTTTCATTATTTTCGGTATATTTTGATATCGCTGTCTAGTTTAATAAATTTTTTATTTAAAATTTATATGTGTGTATATATATGTATGCTTCCAAATTATTTTTTCTTTTTTATGTTATTAAGGTTTTGCATCTATACTTGTTATTTTTTTCTTGTTTGATTTTGTATTTGTGTTTGATGCTTGTTTTTTTTTTTTTTTTTTTCATATTCGCTTGGCGTCTTGTAGTTTTGCTTATTCCTTTAATCTTTTATTTGTTTTTTTTCTTGTTTTGGTTGATAATTTCTTTTTGTTTTTTCCTTGTTTCGTTTTTTTTCTTGTTTCGGTATGCTTCTTTTTTTTTTCCTTAATTGTTTCTTTTCTTTTTTTCTTATTTCGGAATGCATGTTTTTTTATTTGTTTCGTTTTTGATTTTTTTTTGTTTGTTTCAATTTTGCTTGGTTCTTTTTTTTTTTTTTTTTTTTTTTTTTTNTAGTTTTCAAATTTCAAATGGTTACAAAAAATGTTGAAACAAATCCTAAAAAAAAAAATACAAAATTTGTTATGAGTGAATCAGGCAAAAAAAAATTAAATGATAATAAAATATTTAAAACTGACTTGTGTACTTGTTAATAACTAAAAACTATGAGTTATATACATAAAACGAAATAAGTTAAAAATTTTTGATAAAAATTATTTGTGTGTAGTAGTTAGATCTAGAGCTCTACTGTTCATACGTTGGGCGGAGTCAAGATTCCAAATAAGAGGGGCAAAATAAACTAAAAATTAAGTACACTAATGGTACAAAATAGATTAATACTTGCGACAAAATTACTGTTATAATAAAATTAATTTTTATTTTTTAAAAATAAATATGAAAAAAAAATACAAAATAAATTTTTTAGTATGTTTTAATTATATATTTCAGTGAAATACAATATTTTTTTAAAATTTCTACGGTGGCTCCGCCCATACGAGTTTAAGCGGGTTGTAAGGATGACCCGCGTAACCGCAGTACTGTCAACTCTCTCGTACCGCTTCCTCCTCGTCTTTGTTTGTTGAACCAGTTCTCCCCTCTCTCTCTCTCCAAACTAACTCGTATCTTCTCCTCTGTTTTCACCGAATCCGGAAAGCCTGGTTTAACTTGGGGTGTGACTTGGACAGGTCAACTTGCCGGGGAAGGAAGAGGAAGTACTAGAAGAAGCAATCTTCTTGCAGCATCTCAATCTGCGGGTAACTTTCTATCAAATTTTACCTTTGCTTCAAATGGGTTTGATTTGACGTCGGTTATTTTCCCATCTGGGTTTGTATCATATTGTATTATTTTCTTGACGTAGTTTCGTTTAATTTTGTTTTTTTTGTGGTGCGGGTATTGTTTAATTTTGAGTTTTTGAAGTGGGTTTTTCTTTAGTTTCATGAATCTGAAACGAATGAAACAAAAAGAAACCAAATTTGCTCTATTGTGTTTAGAGATAAGCTCTGCCAGTTGGCTAAGTATAATAACTCTACCGAGGGGCAACAAAGCCTGGAACTATTCCTGCCAAATTGTCTAGCTTAAATTATGTATTTGGTATATTCTTGGTGATGGTTTCTTATTTGGGTTTCAATCCCACATTATCACACTTCGCAATTGACTTGGCGAATATTGTGCCCTATTATGCGTCACTGTTAATTTTTGAGCAATTGGGTTGTCTTCCCAATTCTAAATTCTCTCTCTCTCTCTCTTGGGTTTATTATGTTTCGTGGTATATAGTAATGGGTATGGAAGAAAGGAATTGTTGAATTTTGGTGGTAGTTAGTGATGGATTTCTCTTCCCCCCCCACATATATATAATGGCTAGTAATGCACAATACTTTTGTTGGAATGGGGATTCGTCTCAACCAGGCATAATTTGGACTGATAACTGAAACACAAATTACGGATGCACACAATCATATGCAAATCACACCATCAGTTGAACTTGAGTTTATATGGCTAAGTGGACTCTAACTCAGGATGTGCGACTTTATGGCTCGTCCCATATTCAACCACCGAATCAACTTGTGCGGGCTGTGTGATGGATAACATTATGTTAGTGCTCTTTGTAATAAAATAATATGCAGTATATATAGATGCACCGTGTAGAAGAGTTGGGTGATATGATTTGGTTTGTTTAATGATTCAATATTTGGATTGATACACCGAAGAAGAACTGATGTTTATACAAAAATGGAAGAAATGATTTCCTGAGTGGGTTCGTTCAGTTGTTTTCAGCTTGTATTGACTCAGGTTGAACCCTCATTATCTTATAGTTTTCTCTGTGATGCATGTTCGTTGTTCACTCCTCTTCGACTGGCATGTCAACCTAATGAGGCTGGATGATTTTCCTTTTTTTGCTCTCATTTTGGTAATTGTGCATAAGGATTAAAATTTTGTTTTGTTTCTATCAAAGTGAATGAAAATTAAATTATTAAAATTACTATATTTCGAGGTGTTTCGGAAAAAAAGTTCTAATTTTTTTTTTGTTTCCTTTTTGTTTCTGAAACCTTTCTTAGGCTTTTCTGTTCCAATCTGATTGACACTAATGAAAATTTGATAATTGATTGTACAAGATGCTGACCTGATCATGCTTGTTTAAAAGGTTAATAAACTTTACCCCTTCAATTGTTTTTAATAAAAATTTTACGTTGCCCTTAGAACTAATGGTTCAACCACATTATATCTTTAATTTTGAAAACAGGTGTCATCTTGCCTTTTTTGCCCCTTGCTGTTGCATTATTGGAACTAAAAATTTGCATAGATCATTTTTAGGTTCCACCATCACAATGGCGTTTGATGGAAGAGGTAAAGTGAAACCAATTTCAAAAGTTGAAAGTTCAAGGTGATGTAATTAAGTTTTTTCTTTTTTGAGGGGGGACCCGGGGGGGGGGGGGGGGGGGTTTGTTNGGGGGGGGGGGGGGGGGGGGGGGGGGGGGGGGGGGGGGGGGGGGGGGGGGGGGGGGGGGGGGGGGGGGGGGGGGGGGGGGGGGGGGGGGGGGGGGGGGGGGGGGGGGGGGGGGGGGGGGGGGGGGGGGGGGGGGGGGGGGGGGGGGGGGGGGGGGGGGGGGGGGGGGGGGGGGGGGGGGGGGGGGGGGGGGGGGGGGGGGGGGGGGGGGGGGGGGGGGGGGGGGGGGGGGGGGGGGGGGGGGGGGGGGGGGGGGGGGGGGGGGGGGGGGGGGGGGGGGGGGGGGGGGGGGGGGGGGGGGGGGGGGGGGGGGGGGGGGGGGGGGGGGGGGGGGGGGGGGGGGGGGGGGGGGGGGGGGGGGGGGGGGGGGGGGGGGGGGGGGGGGGGGGGGGGGGGGGGGGGGGGGGGGGGGGGGGGGGGGGGGGGGGGGGGGGGGGGGGGGGGGGGGGGGGGGGGGGGGGGGGGGGGGGGGGGGGGGGGGGGGGGGGGGGGGGGGGGGGGGGGGGGGGGGGGGGGGGGGGGGGGGGGGGGGGGGGGGGGGGGGGGGGGGGGGGGGGGGGGGGGGGGGGGGGGGGGGGGGGGGGGGGGGGGGGGGGGGGGGGGGGGGGGGGGGGGGGGGGGGGGGGGGGGGGGGGGGGGGGGGGGGGGGGGGGGGGGGGGGGGGGGGGGGGGGGGGGGGGGGGGGGGGGGGGGGGGGGGGGGGGGGGGGGGGGGGGGGGGGGGGGGGGGGGGGGGGGGGGGGGGGGGGGGGGGGGGGGGGGGGGGGAAGGGTTGAGATTTTTAAAAAACTTTTTGCTGTGGTCATTAACCCTTGTTTAAAATAGGTTCAGCAACATTAAGTCTTCACATGAATCACACCAGTCTTATTGCCTGGATCCTGTATGGCATTTGAATTGGCCAACTTGATGATTCAAGTGCCTGTATGGCTGAGGTTATGTGCAGTTCTGGTCATGGCTTGATTTTGAGGACATAAGAATTTAGGCCGGGCAAGAATATGGTTTTCCATTGATGTGTGTTTTAAGTGGATGAGTCAACTTGTGAGCTGTAAACACTTGATATGCAGACCTTTACATTCACTCCCCTGTACTTACTTCCCTTGTTGCTTGTTCAGGCAATCATTGGTCATATAAGTGGGGAAGCTGTTCGTGGGCATGCCTGCTACGAAGAAGGTTGTAAATAAACTATTTTCTTAAATTGATCTTTTATATGCATTACATCTTTGCCACTGAGTTTCTGCCATCTAATTATTACTAGTATTATAATTGGAGATTGACAAGTAAATGACTAAGGGTGCCTCAGCACTCTTTAAATGGGAATTTTCTGGTATGGGGAAGGGAAACTATTTTTTTTCAGTGGTTATCCAATCAAGGTGGGCTAAACTGGTTTCAGCATTTGCCAACACCTTACCGCACGAGCTAATGGCAGCCATGCGCTACCTGCATCCGCGTTCATTCTCGAAGGCAGGCACTTGAGCCTGGATAATGAAATTTGGGTCTTCGAAAGGGGGATTTGGTAGTACATAGCAATCTTTTTCTTTTATTCCAGGGTTTAATTTTCTGGCTTCATTTTTTTTTTGTTTGGGTTTGTGAGGTGTTTCACATACTGGGGCTCTTAGACATTTTCTTTGCCGGAATATGCTTAACACCGATTATGAGTGTTTCCCATACCGGAGCATGAACCTATATCTTGCTTGTTATTTTGAAACGTGGTGCTTTATCTTTTGTCTGAATGTTAGCTGCAAAGGGCATATGTCCCATTACGAATATCTAATGACTTTAAAAGGAGCACATTTAGTGGGCAAACGTTCTTTCAGTATTGGGAGCATTTTTGCAAATAAATTTGTAGCTCATTTTTTTTGGTTTTAGAAGATGATGTCTGGTAATATTGTGCAATCTTCTTCTGATCAGAGACCTAACTGATGTAGCATTACACCTATGGCTTTCTTCTTTTTCCCTTTTTTTTTTTTTTTTTTTTTGGGTTTTGAAAAAATAATATGCATATTGGTGCCAAGATGCTTAAGTCATATGAATGGGAATAATATGGAGCGGAAAAAAAGGAAAAGAAAGGATTCCACCTAAGAAAAAACATGCAACCATGATCAGATCTCACCCCAAAAACCAATTGTAGGAAGTACATGGTCATCAAAAACTCCTATGTTTAGGGTTTGTGAAGTAGGATACTGGTTGTTCGTTTTAGGGATGGATGAGAATTGAAATTTGCTTGAATTGGAAAGTGTTTATTTGCTAGAATTTTGAGAAAAAAGTGTTTGTGTGTATTTATTTTGAGACTTTGGGTCTTATGTGAATGGTTGGACAGGTAAAGGAATGTGATAGGATTGATTTTGGCATCATGGGGTGGTTGGAGTTTGGGCCTAGGATTAGTAACTGAACAATCATTGAATTTCTTTGGCTACGTTATCTTGTTTGTTATCTTTTATAGGATTACTAGCAATAACCCTGTGGCTAAAGACCTAATGCCATCCCAAAACTCGAACATCGATCATGTAATATTTATATTTTAAATAGCAATTTATTTTTTCTTTTCTTTTCTTTAATTATGCAATTTAAAATGAAAGTCATAAAAGAGAAAATACAAGAAAGGTAAGGGAGAGAGAAGAAAGGGTAGGGGTGGATTAATAGATGAAAATTAGAGTGTGTTGGGTTAGTTATCTGACATTAGGGTCCGTGCAAAAAAAGAAGATGAATTTTTCCCTCGAAAAATATTTTTGAGAGGAATTTTATACCATTGTATCAAATAGATGAAAATTCGATTAATCTTAACCGTTGTTGTGCTTTAGTAAGTTGAGAATTCAACTTCCTAGTTGTAATAAGATAGATAGTTGTTCACTTGTTCTTAATGAATAGATAACTTTTATTGTCAAGGTAATGTGCTTGGGGATTTTATAACACCTATGGTGCTTTCTCTATAGCATTTTTCTTTCTCTGAAATTGTTGTTTTCACTTTTTTTTTAACTTTTATTTGGTATTCTTAATCAGAAGACTGAGCGGAGTGGCATTACACACATATTCAACAATATGCTGAAGGAGATTGGAAAGCCTGTTGACTTTGAACTCCCAGATTGGTTAAATAAATGGAACCCTATGTCCTACACATTTATAAAGCGCAGTATCCTTCTACAATGTAGTTTCAATGTTCTATTGCAATGTTCTTATAAAAAAATGTTCTATTGCAATGTTCTTATAAAAAAGTGTTCTATTGCTATGCATGTGTAACTTGTCAAACTCTTTTTTTCCTGTTAGATTAATGGTTTTTACAGCCTTGGTCTTGCTGGTTGCAAAGCTCCATTTGTTGAAAATGCCTTACTTTGATTCTGTCATTTTTCCAATCTATATTATATTTTCAACCTAGTCTCCTGAAAAATTGACCGCTCAAATTTTTATGGAATTGCATGTTTATTGTTCTATTGTTTGACTCCCTCTCCCTCTCAACATTCACTCTTGTTTGTGCTGAATCCTGATACTAACTAATTTAAGATATATATCTCACTAAGAGGATAAAAAGGCGTCTGGAAGATGATGGTATATTCTGCTCTTGCAGCTCATCAATTGGATCTTCTGGTGTATGTGGTAGAGATTGCCTCTGTGGGTAAGGACTGCTTTAGTCCAGTTTTTCCATAGATGCTAAGAATGTAAGCAGGTTCCACTGGTTTGATGAAGTCAAGGACCGTAAACAGGTTCCATGGATTCGTGATCTTTAAAACTGTAAAAAAAGTTGCATACACCATACCTTGATTCTTGATTCATCAATAATTGTATTTGAATGCTTACCTGATTCTTAGGACACAGTAATATAGCTCAAGTAGTTACTGCAGCATCTATTTGCACCAACAATCTGCCCACTGGTTTGTGGGTGCATTGTTATTTAAGACGTAAAGCAAATCGAAACCCCTAGGTCTCTTAAGGCCTAGGCGAGAGGGAAAAGCAAAAACTTCATTGAAGCGAGGCGAATAGTATAAAACCCTAGTAAATATTTTGTTGTTAACATCCTAAGTGATATATATTCAAGTTCCAAACTTCTCAAATACAAAATATTCAAATGCAATCAAAAGTATAAACATTTAAAATCAAACAAACACCAATAATATCTTAAATATGTTGAGAAAACACAAACATTTAAATTAAAACAAACATCGACAATATCTAAAATCTTAACATTCGAAAACACACAAGCCAAACTATTAAAGAAATTAAATATTTTGTCAATGCTTAGTTTGATCCAAAGCTGTTGGATACAGAAGAAATTTTTTAAGGTTAGCATATATGTATGACATCACAATAAAATTTGGATTCTTAGATTTTTCGAACAACATATTAATTTGCCTTTGAGTTCGGATTGGAATTTTGATTCAAGTGAAGAAAGAGTAAGCCTATTAATTATTGGTTCTAAGCTTTGTAGTTCTAACCATCGACTTGGTTCTTTCAAATTGTTTTTCATTATTAATGAAAGGTAACGAAGATAAAATGCGAGCTTGTTTTACAGCAATAGTAATTATCGGTGTTGTTTTAGAAATTCATCAAAATTTAAATAATCAAAAAGATTCTTCAAATTAACGAGTTTTTGTCTCTCGAATATCCTATATTCCTATTGACCAATTATTTCTTTATAATGTACTCTATTTTTTTTTAACAAATAAGCCAATAACCGTTGATGTTTTCCCATGGATCCTCAAGTTGGTGTGTTAATGCACATCAAAATTGTTGTCCAATTCAGTTGATCTAAAATTCTATAATAGATCAACAAAGCAAAAAATATGTATATATGTACATATATAAATATAGAAAACCGCCTTCCCTTAAGTTTTGCTTTGGACAACTCGCCTTGCCTTGGATCTCTTCGCCTAGGTGATCGTCTTTAAGAACGTTGTGTCCGCACTTGTAAATTTCTCATCTATCTGACATCTAATTGGCTGGATTTGGCTGCCTATTGAATTTCTGGATTTGAAGTTGATTTCAACACTTTGGATTTATGTCATGACTTGATTTATCTTTAAACCTGGAAAAAATGTGTCAGGGTCCTGGAAATTGTAAAGGAATTACTTGCTTGTTCATTATCATTGTTTCCTCTGTGGTTTGATTAGGTTATGTGCCATTCTAGTTGCATTATTTATATTTTGTGTATGATTCTTGGTTTTCTTTTCACAGGATACTACAGTCTAGCTGCTCCGCAGGTTGTAAATGTGGGACTTCATGTCTTAATAAACCGTTCCACCAGCGACCTGTGAAGAAGATGAAAATAGTGAAGGTATAATTTCTGATTGAATATTTTTTTGCTGCTAAACGTAATATAACTTGGAAAGAAACATTGATGAGGAGTTGCATTTTGGACAACCTACTGAAAGCTAGATTAAAGCATTGACCAATTTGTTATGATACTATTTTTTTAGTTATTATGCCCTCTTCCTGTATGGAAGATCTGCCATGTGGCATGTTAGTTGAAGATGTATAAATTAGGACATGCGATTTGAATCATTTATACTTCTAAGTTTGTTATGTTGCTATTATTCTGAGTAATCCTGCAAGGAAAGTAAAATATGCAAATAAAATCATATTTTTTCATGCAAAGATTGACCTTGAAACTTGTTTATGGCTGGTGCATGTGCAGTTATTGCAATGAATTTGTATTTACCTGTTGCGGAAAAATTTTAAACACCTGGAAACTTTTGTTATGTCAGAAAGACNCTAAGATTGACCTTGAAACTTGTTTATGGCTGGTGCATGTGCAGTTATTGCAATGAATTTGTATTACCTGTTGCGGAAAAATTTTAAACACCTGGAAACTTTTGTTATGTCAGAAAGACGGACTTTGGATCATGTAATTGTGGAAGTTTGAAAAAAACATCTATTGCTATGTTCATACTTGTGGTGGACCACTTTACCTGTAACAGGTCTGGAATTCTTGGACTCCGGCATCTATAATACCCAGTTTGTCAGCGAAACTTATTCAAAAAACGCAAATTGAGAGAACATATAATTAGAGGAGAGATAACAAGTCTTTTAGATATTTTCTAATATTGCTTGATTAATGCAGAATAGGCACAAGCGACAATTTATATTAAACCTTGCAATAAAAAAGAGCAGACTACCCCTAATGATAAATAACTTAATTACAATCTTAACACCCCCTCTCAACCCCATTTTGTGATGGAAGGAAGTTTGTGAAGAAGGAAATGAAAATATAGCTTCGTGAGAGATATCACAAAGAAGTTAGCCAGCTCCATAGTNAAACCCCCTCTCAACCCCATTTTGTGATGGAAGGAAGTTTGTGAAAAAGAAAATGAAAATATAGCTTCGTGAGAGATATCACAAAGAAGTTAGCCAGCTCCATAGTGGAAGAAACGAAAGTTAGAAAGTAGTCCCAAGCTGAAGAGTATGACACACAAAATAATAGGTAACCTTGATATACTTGGCTAGTTCATGGAAAATGTAGTTTTGCCCAATTAGAAATGGAAACGCCAAGATTGATAGACAAGCATTGCAATCACACTATCTTTAACGTAGTGGTAGCCATAACATGATATTCAANTCGTTCATGGAAAATGTAGTTTTGCCCAATTAGAAATGGAAACGCCAAGATTGATAGGCAAGCATTGCAATCACACTATCTTTAACGTAGTGGTAGCCATAACATGATATTCAACTTCAGTAGTGATCAACAACAAAGGATCATAATTTCATTTTGAAATGACCGAAAAAATTATGTTTCCATGAGAACTTAAATAAGTAAGTGTTGAATACAAAAATTCCTTGTCTCGAGTTGTGTTTCAGAAATCAATTTTCACTTTTTTTTTTGGTTTCTATTATGTTTTCGAAATATTTTCATGTCCTTAGTGATCAAAAAATACATCGAAATAAAATTTTGATCTTTGACGAAAATTTTATACTTCTTACTGTTCTAGGAAATAAGAAAATAGCATAGAAACCGGTGGTTGATGCACGACCCAAGGCCTCACAGGCCTAGTCAGCATCATAAAAAGCAAAAAGTTGCAAGAACTGAAAAAAAACAATAAATCTCGATTTAAAGTGCCTCTAAGAGGATATAAAATGTGAACTATATCAGAGAAGAGACAAATTGACTCACAACATGAGCGACAAAAGCAATATCAGGTCGTGTAATATTGAGATGGACCAAACTACTAGTAACAGCCTATGCAAAGTAGGATTGGGTAAAGGATCATCAGTAAAAGCGTGATACACACAAAGCTTGAGATGGAACTCAATAGTTCGAGAGTCTAATAATTGAGCCTTGTGGAAGCCATCAGTTGTGTACTTTCAGGAAAAATACCTAGAAAATATCAAAGGCGACCAAGATCCTCTATCTTAAATTGTTGTTGTAATTGAGCTCTCAAGACTGAATTGTCCTCAGAATCACGCCTGGTAGTAATCATATCATTAATAGCTGAGGGAAGAATAATCTGACTAGCATAAGTAGAATGAAGAAAGAGAGTATAATTATGATCAGTGGGATGAAAACCCAAGTCACTATCACAGTAGAAGAATTCTCAAACTAATATTGAGGAGCCTGTTTGAGAGCATACAAAACTTCTTTAATTTTGCATACCTCACCTATAACATGAGCAAGCCCAGGATGAGGAACCATGTAAATCTCTTTCCCTCATTGGCCAATGGAAGATGAATGTCAAGCATACTTTTTCAAATGGTGATTTCCACTCTCCTTGTAATCAATGTCATATTCTTGTGCATACAGATCAAAATTATGTTTCAAAATGATCAAAACATTTTCATTTTCAAAGAGATCGAAACGAAGCAATGATTCAATCGAAATACCAATACTTGGTGGTGTTTCGAAGTGTTTCAACATATTTCGAGTTGTTTCGGATTGTTTTAACATATTTTGAGATGTTTTGGTATGTTTCCGCCATTGTTGTGGAATGTTNTGCGTTTCAAAATGGTCAAAACATTTTCATTTTCAAAGAGATGGAAACGAAGCAATGATTCAATCGAAATACCAATACTTGGTGGTGTTTTGAAGTGTTTCAACATATTTCGAGTTGTTTCGGAGTGTTTTAACATATTTTGAGATGTTTTGGTATGTTTCCGCCATTGTTGTGGAATGTTTCAAGGTGCTTTAAGATGTTTCGGTATATTTCAACTAATGTTTCAGAATATTTTGAAAATAATTTTTCAAATTTTTTCTTCATTTCCATGTTGTTTTTAAAATGTTTCCAATGTATTTCCAACACGCTTTCCTAGGTGATCGAAATAATACACCAAAACAAAATTTTTATCCTTGCTAGTGCAAAACCCTTAACAACTAGTCCAACCTTATATTTTCAATAGAATTATCAACCTTGATTTTAATCTTATATACTTGGTGTTAAACAATCATTTATTCCAAAAGTTTAAGTTATTGGAGAGGGTGTAATTTGAGTATTTATAATTCCATACGCCCCTCATGTGCAGTCTAGATTTTGGACTTAGGATGTGGAAATCTTTTTTATAATTTGGATGGCCGTGAGATTTGAATACGTGACTTTCTACTCTGATACCATATTAAGCAACTATATATTCTAAAAGGTTAAGCTGATGGAGAAGGCTTAACTTCAGTATTTATATTTCAACACTTGACAACAAATTAATAGTACGCTTACCAATTGTTAAAGACACAAGATCCCATTTCCCAGTTTATACATTGCGGAACGTTTTTCATTCATAGTTTGTTGCCAAAGCAAATCAAGAGTAGTCTTTTGATGAGAGAAAGGATTAGGAACAACCTTTTTATAGTAGATAAGTTTAGAAGATTGACGTGGGAGGATCGACATCATCATAAATCAATGGAGATGTATTTGAGAGAGGTAAAGAAGTTGTATCTTTGTAGGAGTTAGTCTTGTCTGTACAAGGGTAAGTGTGAACAATAGAGGGGCACCATTGGGAGAGAAGTTTGAAGTGAAGGAGCAAATGTGAGAAGTGAACATGTCACGAACATAAGAGTCCCCCGAATTATTTTCAATGAAAGGGGCAATGTAAATAAGTTTAGATTTACTAAACGAGTTAGAAGGAGGAATGCAAGAGAAAGATATATACTCAAGAAAAACCACATGTTTAGAAGAAATATAGTCTTTTGGTGAAAGGATTATAACAATGATACCTTTTTTGTCCCTTGCCCTAACCAAGAAAACTATACACAGCAGAATGAGCAGACAACAGATGCCCAGTTTTAGGAAGGACAAAACAACAACAAAAGATGTGCAATGAGAATAGGAAATTCAACTAATGAGATGAACAACAGTGATGATTCTCCTTCCATCCCTGTTCTTCATAGAAATATGCTTTGAGAACTCATCACTAGCCATTGGATATAATTCTCATAACCCAACGCCATAATGAGCCACTATCTTTCAGTGCATGGTTTTGGAGTAATCTATCTTTTCAACTTCCAAAGAGTGTTTATCCTAGTTATCCTGAAGTTGTAAAGAGAATTGCTTGCAAAGTGTATTTATTTTGATTTGTAATCCTCTTGATTATTTTGAATCACATGAATTTATGTTGATTTGTGCAAAGTACACGAGTCGGTAAGTTACAGGGAGCCTATAATCCAGCTGCCAATATTTCACGTATTAGAGTGCTGTGCTGTAGGCATGTCAAATACGGATCAGATTCCAGTTGATCCTATCTGAATCCGATTCCAAATCCCGTCTGTTATCTGACAATTTGATTTTAGTTGTTCATATCCGAATCCATTAAGAATTGGATTTCCGATCCAAAAATCTTGTCATATTCGACTCAAATAAGGTTTCAATCATAGATCCATTTCAGTTAATTTTGGCACAATTTCACGAAAAAAAATACATGATTTTGAGCCCAAAAATGTAAAGCAACTAATCAAATGAACCATTAGTTCTTGAGTGGAAGGATCATCGGAGGGCATAATTGTTGGGTTGTAGTTGAAGGAACCTTGGGATGAGGAAATCAGTGAGACAGGCCATGGTGGTGAGGTGGAGAAGAGAGAGATGTGGGTAGGAGGGGCTGAAATCTAGGTGGAGAGAGAGAGAGAGAGAGAGAGAGAGAATAATTTGGAAAGGGCAAGAGCCTTTGGATGCAGGAGAACAAAAAAAGAGAAGAAGAGAAGAAAGGGGGAAGAAAAAGAAAAGGAAAGAGAGAGGAAAGTGTGATATGACATCCACNGCAGGAGAACAAAAAAAGAGAAGAAAAGAAGAAAGGGGGAAGAAAAAGAAAAGGAAAGAGAGAGGAAAGTGTGATATGACATCCACTGGTTAGTTTTGCTGGCATTTCAAATCTCTATAAGCATTTCATATCACTTTTACTTCTGTAATCTGACACATATTCCTAATATACATATATAATATTTGATAGTATATTTAACATTATAATATTTCGGATCGGATTCTCAACATATTTAAAACTTGGTCCATATCCCACTAAATGGGTTGGTATTCGAACCGAAATCCAGTCCATTGACAGGCCTTGTGTGGTGTGCCTAGCTGTCACTTGACATGGTACTGAAATGAATATTATGTATGTGGCTCTTGTATTGCAATTGCTTCAATTGTTCTTCGATTGTATTTATGAATGCTTCATTATCCTCTTGATCATTCACACTCTTGTCATATTAGGAATAATTTTGTTTACTGGGTTATCCAGCTCACCCTTATTTAACCACTAGTTGCAGGTTGATTTCAGGGTAGAAAAATTGTGGTTGCAATGTTGAAGAGTTAGATGTTTTGAGATTATTGCTTTTTTCCGTGTAAATTCATGACGTGGAGATTGTAATTTAATCATTGAAAGGTTTTATATTAATTTGTGGAGATATTAGAGCTTTGAAACATATAAATGGAAAAATTTAGCTGACTCTCGTAGTTCAACTTTAATAGGTTACGAAGCGTTCCTCCCACTGCACGCATTTTTTTTATCACAAGATTGGATCGGAGACTCTAGAATTACATTTGCTTCACCATTCCTTTCTGCAAACCGACTGCATCCATGTAGTTTATATCCTTCGTAATCCTTTTCTTTGATAAGTGACTTCTTGGATTTTCCCCATTTGGGCCTTTGCCTTAATCAAAGGCGGATTTAGTATGGGGGCAGCTGCCCCCACTAGAATTTTAAAAAAAATTGGGACTTGGGTGAATTTTTGAATATTTCAAAAATTTTTGAATCTTGCCCCCACTAAAATTTTCATTAAGTATAGGTGGGGTTGGTGTAATTTTTAAACCATTAAACATAACTTTGGTTGCTCACTCATTTCACGCCCTTTACACTACTGGATGTTTTTTTCGTTCGAATTTCAGTTTTTTTGACTCGGTCTTTTTATACTAGCTCTCACTTCTTTCTTTCCTTGCTTTGATTTATAGGAAGTTTTGGTATATTAATCAACAAATCGGCTTACTCGGTTGTTGGTATTGGGGCATATAACAACAATTATCTCACAAAATCCACAAGAACAAGACTCAAGAAAAACAAAACAATCTCCGATTTTTACTATAGTGTATCACTTTAATTTCAACACAAAATAAAGCATGAATAGGACAAAATCTGCTGCAGTGAATCACACAAATTCCACTCCAAAAACTTATCTATTTCAATTAAAAATTCAGAACAATAAGATCCAAATACAATGGAACTAGATCTGAAATTTTAGCAACAATTACACATAAGAATTGTGGATTTATGGATTATATTTTGATTATGTGTAGTACATTATGTCATTCGTTACGAACTTAATGACGAGCTATTAAATTTAAGTCTAATTAGACAAATTCATTTTTCAGTTATGGAAAGATTTCTTGTAAGAAAATTAATACTGAAACAACCGCCTCCTAGTCAAGAAATAGATGATCTTTTGATGTGAAATATTTTTTGGTGCCTTTTTATGTACATCGCTTATATATATGAGTTGCGCATCTAAATAACATTTTTTTATGGAACTATACATAAAAAAAGTTTATTAAAATATATATTTTGATGAAAACAATATTACATTTATAATTTAAATTTAAGAATTTTAAGTAGCCCCCACCGAAACAAAATTGTAGCTTTGCCCCCGGCCTTAATATATACATTTTATCTGAAACTTCTTTTCTAGTGCAACCATTTAATCCTATGTGGAGCACATAGTACACACACTGAATGTGGTAATATGTCTCTTCTGCTGTTTGTTCACTGAGTTTATTCTTTATGCATTCCATCTCAGAGGACTTCTTCCCTTTAAATTTTCATCTACAGTTATCCCCAATGCAGCCTAATATTTTCCTTTCGTGGATACCCGCTTTTTTTTCAGTTCATTTAGTTTTCTTAGATACTCATATCATCGGCTTATTTTCTCCTTACATTTTCCTCAAAATGTCACATCGTGATTTTGCTTGCAGACCGAGAAATGTGGATCAGGGATTGTAGCTGATGAAGATGTTAAACAAGGAGAGTTTGTGATAGAATACGTGGGAGAAGGTGATCTTTTTTTCAATCCTGCAATATCTAAGTTAATGAAATTATATTCCTCATTTTGCATATTTTTTCAAGTGGATTTCGATGGTGAAATATGTTTCTTTCTTCATGCAGTTATTGATGACAAAACATGTGAGGAAAGGCTTTGGAAAATGAAACACCGTGGAGAAACAAACTTTTACTTATGTGAAATCAATCGAGACATGGTGATTGATGCCACATACAAGGGAAACAAATCAAGATATATAAATCACAGTTGTTGTCCCAATACAGAAATGCAGAAATGGTTCTTGGCTGATCCATTTTACTGATTTCATAGTTTCGATGGTTTTTAATTTTACTCTTATACGTACTTCATTTTTAGGAGCATTGATGGTGAAACGAGGATTGGCATATTTGCAACTCGAGACATAAAAAGGGGCGAGCATCTGACTTATGATTATCAGTAAGAACACACATTCTTCCTGTACGGGCATGCACTAAACTTTTTTCTGTTTGCTTAGTAAGCACACATTTTTTTCACTTTTCAGTTGTATGATTCTTTCCTCTCTCTCCCACCTCCAATGTTTTTTTTTTTAAAATTTTCAAATGGTTCTAATAAAAAGGGAAGAAAAATAAAAAAAGGGAAAGGAACAAATACCCCATAGCACATTGACTATCTGTAGTATTCTGTTTATGAAAACAATTTCTTTGATTTAACAACCCTAACAAATATAGCAGGTTTGTTCAATTTGGTGCAGACCAAGATTGCCACTGTGGTGCTGCAGGCTGCAGGCAAAAGCTGGGTGTTAAGCCTAACAAGCCAAAGCTGCCTTCTTCAGATGCTGCATTGAAAATAGTTGCATATCAGGTTGCTGTTACCTCTCCCAAAGTGAAAGCAATTTTATCCAGAAAAGATGTACGTATGGTTGATAAGGTTAAGTATGAATTAAGAGTTAAGACATGTCTTGCTGTTTTTCAATTTGTTCCATTTGGTTTATTTTTGAAGTTGGTTTTGCATGTTGATGGTAAAAAGTTTGCAATGCTTTGCCTGAATAAAAATATATTGAGGGTGTTTTCTGGTAATTTGCAAAAATTGCTTGTTTATTAATAGGGAGGCCTTCTGCAAACAATTGCATTATTGTTGTTTTTTTGGAGCAGTTATTTTTTATGGCTTCGGTGATTTCTGCATCTTCAGCATTCCAATCTAGCTGTGATTTCTGTGTCTTGCCTTNGAAGGCCTTCTGCAAACAATTGCATTATTGTTGTTTTTTTGGAGCAGTTATTTTTTATGGCTTTGGTGATTTCTGCATCTTCAGCATTCCAATCTAGCTGTGATTTCTGTGTCTTGCCTTTGGAAGGGAGGAAGAAGCTGATGAAGTTTTGCTTATGATGAGATCAAATCTTATAGTTCTTATTCTAGTTTACTGCTGGTTGGTAGACTAGCAGGAATTTTAGTTTGCAGTTTCCGTATAGGAGTTGGAATTTATTGTTTTTAGTTGGCGACAAGTTGGACACTATAGGATATGGCACAAGTCATAAGCAAGATGAAGCATTGTATTTGATTGTGTAGTGTGGGTTACCCTTAGAAGAAATACGATTTAGACACTTTCACGGATTGAAATGTTTTCGTTTTCAAAGAGACTGAAATAAAGCAATGATTGAATCGAAATGCCAATGTTTGAAGGTGTTTAGGAGTGTTTCAAGATATTTCGAGATGTTTCGACATGTTGTTTCAGAATGTTTTGAGGTGTCTTAAGATATTTTGATATATTTTAACTAATGTTTCAGAATATTTTGGAAATAAATTCCCAAGGTTGTGTCTCGTAACCATTTTTATTTTTTATTTTTTGTTTTTGTTTTTAGTTTTTGTCATAATTAAAAACAAAAATGTGTTTGGTACCAGTTTTTGTTTTTTTTTTCAGCTTGTTTTGAAAACAAGGCTGAATTTTGTAAACAAAAAAATCGTGTTTGAGAAACACCAACTGAAAACACGTGGGCGACAAGGGGACCTTTATTGAGGTCCACCCTTCTAATTTTGCTTGGAGCAAAAATCTGAGTCTTTTCTTGGGGAAAGTGGAAACCCTCATATGTTGTCTCTCTCGCATCTCTCTCTCCAACAATGAAGGTCGAAGGCTACAAAGCTCTCTCCATTCTTCGAAGCTCAGTGCAACCTTTCTTTCTTCAGCTTTCTCTCTCCATCTCTTTTTNCGCATCTCTCTCTCCAACAATGAAGGTCGAAGGCTACAAAGCTCTCTCCACTCTTCGAAGCTCAGTGCAACCTTTCTTTCTTCAGCTTTCTCTCTCCATCTCTTTTTCTCAAAGGTCATTAATAGAACCTATACATATATATAGATTTGTGTGTGTTGGGTGCGATTATGTGTCAGTGGGTATGCGTGTGTGTTATGTGTGCATGTGGATGTGTGTATGTATGTATCTGTGTGTGTGTTGTGCAAGTGTCTGTGTTCTGTGTGGTGATAAGATCTAGATTGGTGAACCCATTGCAGATAAGCACAAGATATAAGAAATTTTGTAAGGAATTTTGATGTGTTTTGTATCAACAATTAATTTAAATTTATAACATATGATAGAAATTAAAATGGTTATCAAATNGAATGTATGTATCTGTGTGTGTGTTGTGCAAGTGTCTGTGTTCTGTGTGGTGATAAGATCTAGATTGGTGAACCCATTGTAGATAAGCACAAGATATAAGAAATTTTGTAAGGAATTTTGATGTGTTTTGTATCAACAATTAATTTAAATTTATAACATATGATAGAAATTAAAATGGTTATCAAATATATTTTATGTTTTTATTTTTGGAGTTCCTTAAATAAAAATTGAAACCAAATAAGTTTTTTGTTTTATTTTTTACCACAAAAAAAATAAAAAATATTTTTGTTTTTTATTTTTTACCCCAAAAAAAATAAAAATTATTTTTGTTTTTATTTATTTTGAAAACAAAAAACAAAAGAATGTTTTATTTTTGTTTTTATTTATTTTGAAAACAAAAAACAAAAGAATGTTACCAAACACGCCATAAATTTTTTCTTCGTTTTCATTCTATTTTCAAAAAGTTTCCAAAGTATTTTTAAAATTTTTCGAAACGTTTTTATTTTCTAGGTGACAAATAATATACTAAAACGAAATTTTGATCCTTGACTCTTTATTTTATATTTTAATTAAGCCATTTTGACACCTCATTGTTTGTATTCGATTNTATTTTTTACCCAAAAAAAAATAAAAATTATTTTTGTTTTTATTTATTTTGAAAACAAAAAACAAAAAATGTTACCAAACACGCCATAAAATTTTTCTTCGTTTTCATTCTATTTTCAAAAAGTTTCCAAAGTATTTTCGAAATTTTTCGAAATGTTTTTATTTTCTAGGTGACAAATAATATACTAAAACGAAATTTTGATCCTTGAATCTTTATTTTATATTTTAATTAAGCCATTTTGACACCTCATTGTTTGTATTCGATTTTAATCCTATATGTATTGCGCTATAATTGATACAATCTAAGATTTTAAGAACAAACATGGGAATGACATGCTAGGAACTACAAGTAAGATAGTACTAACAATTAATCTGGCTAGAATCTTTTTAACCACTATGAGAGAAAAGATGAGGTAGGGAGATTGTGATTGTGGAAGTGATGGATTGGATGCAGAAGTCTCATGCCCAAGGTTTTAAAAAGAGGGTGATGGGTGTTACGTAAACAGCTGTAATGGGATCGACGCTATTATGCCCTATTATATTAGTGTGGTTTAAAATTATACCTCTGATAGCAGTTACTGGTTAGATTGGCATATGACTCAAAACTTTTTCTAGGCTTTTGCACCCCGTTTTCTGACATTTTTGGCCAAAAATGGAGATGCTCGACAATAATTTTTGGATTTCACCCAAGTACATGAAATCGTGAAAATTGGACCATCATCTAGCTTTATGATGCAATAAAACATGCAAGAAGAGGAAACGAGAAGAAGAACAGGAACTTGGATTGGATTGTTTGGGTTCGGGGAATAGCGGAGAACTATCCTTGTGTAGCTCTTGGTGTTCCCTTCGCCATCTGGTTCTTGGTGTGATGCATTGACTTTTGCATTTCTTTTGAGTGTTGACAAGTTGCCCTAATGGCTACAAAGCTGGTTGTTGGCCGCCAAATGGTTAGAGAATTTGATGGACATGGGATCCCTCCTTTTCTATTCTTTAAATTTTAGAATTTGTCTAAATTGTAGAAGCACCTGACCATTATGGAGTGAGTGCGGTTTTCTTCCAATAGTTTTGAGGGGTAGCCAAACTCATGGTGATCCCAATATTTTGCTGGTCTCTTAAGCATGACCAATTTGAGAAGAGCTTCAAGGCTTCTTTTGTAACCTAGCAGAGAATATTTGGGACTTCCAGCTGGTTAACTCGATGGGAACTATTTACCGGCTGTTGGAAGAAGCAAGGCTTTTAAAATTGGGATCCAACCTTGGATCGCTGGTCGAGATTAAAGGATCAAGCATAGGATTAGATCAAGAATCGTAAGATCTTAAGAACTAAAAAAATGAAACAAAATATATATAACAATACAAAATTCTAAAAAATTTACCTGCTGCTCTAGTATATATGCAAAATGCAAAAAATGTCATGACGAACATATACAACTTAAAGAAGTAATCAAAATTTGAAAAACTACGAGTTGAGTATTGAAGAAGCATATAAATTAAAGTTGGGTTGTCATTCTTGTGAGATTTTGCAAAGAGCAATAGGAGAATTGTAGTATTTCGATTTTAAATTATGGAGAGAGATAGAGATAGGGAGAGACTGAAAAGCTAAGAGATGGTTGGAAAACTTTGATTGTTTGACATCCACCCACAAAAGTAGAAAATAATAAAACTGGAAAAACATATTTGACTATGATCACTTCTTGAGACAGAAGAAAACAAATTAATTGTTGTTTTCAACTTTCAATGAGAAAGATGAACAAATGATTAGAATTTTATGTAACGAAGAGAGTATTCTTTTGCTTTTCTCAGCCATCGAAATTTCTCAAAAAGACTGATAAGCGCATAAGACAATCACATTTGCATCAAGTCTTTAAGTATTAAAGTAATAAATATGGATTTGACATTTCAAAAACTAAAGGCCTATAACTGAAAATAAATCCTACCATCTTGGATCGGTAAGATCGTGGGTGGGATTGAGATCCTAAGATCTCAAAAGATACGGATCATGTTCCATTAAGGTTTTATGAAGTAGGAATTTTTCAAGAGACTAGCATTGATTTACCAGTACCAAATCGTAGGATCGTATGATCAGAATCATGATTCTAATAACCATGGGCAGAAGTTCTACTACTAGTTTAAGGGAGCTAATTGGAACCATTGAATCAGGGATTCAAGATTCTGTTAGAGGTGGATAATTTTTGGATGCATTCTTCGGGTCTAATGAAATTTCTTGAGGAGAGGCTTGGTCCCAATCTTTTGGGAATGGTTGGTTAAGTGAATATTGAAAAGTCCTATGTATATGCTTGAGAGATGGATTTTGGTGATAAATGTTGATGATGAGGGTATTTTTCTACGTCAGGTTGTTGGTTTAGATGGATGGTGCTCCAAAGGTTTTTTCTAGTGTGTTTTCTATATGTCGAGGGATTGAGTAGACTTGTAAAGCTCTCAAGTAAGGTGTGTTGGAGAGTTTTTGTTAAGTGACAATGGAGGTTCTATGGTTTCAATTTCTCATCTTTTTTGGCGATGGTACCACGATATTTGTGGAGGACCTAATGTAACCAACCAAGATACTTAAACCATACGTTGATTTGTTTTGAAGTAATAGTGGTTTTCTAGATCAACATCAGAAAAATGGAGATTTGCAAAGAAAGCTTGTACCTTACATCGTATGGTTAATATCACTCAATGTTGGTTTATATGCTTAAGGGATATCTTCACTTGTGGGCGATTGGTTTTAGGTTGGATGCTTTGACATGGTATCTGAGTTAGGCTTTCGGTAGTCAATGAGCCAAGTCTATTTCCCATTTGAATTTCTTGATATGCATATTTGTTTGTTTGTTTGTTAGTCCAACGTGCAAACACAAGTCCCACATGAGGGAGGTCGTAAATAGAGGTTTTATCCTATATCAAATGATTAAGACTACCCAAGGTTGGTTTATATGTTTAAGGCGTCTCTCCACTCATTGTCAATGCCCTAACATCCTGGTGGGTGAGGTTGACAATCCCATGGCCTTAGTTGTTATTTGGTGTATTAGTTATTAAAGCATCCAACTAAAATCAATTGATAGTGAGTGGACAGGCCAACGAGGATTGTATAGTGATTTAGAAGAGGTTGTTTACTATTGTGGGACAAGCTCAGACACTTCTCCGTGCGTGCTACCCTCACTCGCACATGGAGGGG